TATGGTACAGCTCAAAGTAATTGTAGGAGCATTGATCCAAACACAAAAACAACAGTGAGAGAAAATTCCTTTCAGATACATCTAGCATCTGACATATTCCCTTCATTTGTGCATTAATCGGTACCAGACATTTTTGAGCATCCTGCAACAGGAGGTGATTTGACTTTCACAAATTTCCCTAAGAGCAGAAACATCATCAGGAGCAATTTCAAGGAAATAATTATGGTCTAGACAGATTTATGACTTCTAAAGACCTAATCCAAAGCACATTAATGTCAGTGGAAGGACTCCCATTGACATCAAAGGCCTTTGGATCAATCCGCAACTGCTGTGGGAATGAATTCAGAGCAGTAATGATGGTGGACTAAATGCACACTTGGAGTTGAAATGTTACCACCCAGACCTCTTTATTCCTCAAATCAGATTAAAAAGTCATTTTCTGCCATTTCACAATTACTTCCAGATGTGCATCATCTCAAATGGCATTTTCATCCATCTGTATGAACAAACATGCATAGAGATAGAGAGGTTCTATACTGCCTGAACTAATAACATAAATGAAAACCACAAGGGAAAATAATGTTGGAATTGATGAAGTTCTTGTTTTAAATATGGACTGAGAAACCCTGGACTTCATTTATTCCCTCTAACTACTTTGTGATAGAGCTGCCAGACCCACCATTTCATTTACTGCCACAGTAGATTTCTTCTAATTAAATTTTCAATATTTTTCTCTAGCCCACTAAGCAAAACTAAAGAATACACATAAATCAGTGTTAGCCTCAAACTTGGCAGCTTGAAAACTGTCACAAATGTCAGCTTCATATACTCTGCTTAATAACAGTGCTGCTGTCCCTTCTGTCCTCTTAAATGTCTATTTACATGTTAAATAATTTGAAGCATCACTCTTCTCTGACCACGTTAATCTAATTTCATTCTCTTAGCAGACAGTAACACTTTAGACTGCAAAATGAAATGCTGATGTCATGTGCAAGTGGAAACCCATTCAAAGTTTTACACCATCAAACTCAGCCCCAGGATATGACAGATCAGTCACCAGCATCATCTATTACTCTGAAGTGCATGCATCTGCTATTTACTTCAGTTTATCAATACTTTCGTTAGGCAGGTTTGGTTATCATGTATTCATTCTGATATGTGCATATCAGACCAACTACTCAACGGTCTCAAGTTTTCCCAGGAGGTCTAAATTACACATTAGGAAAAATTTCTTCATGGAAAGGATTGTAAAGCATAGGAACAGGCTGGTGGGTCACCATCCCTGGAAGCATTAAAAAAACATGTGGGTATGGCATGTGTGGATGGGGTTTGGTGGTGAACATGGTGTCTGGGCTGACATTGGGGATCTTAGGGGTCTTTTCAACTTAAAAATTCTATGATTCCACAGTTGAAATCTGCCTTACTAAGCTAGAATTAGGAAGTTCAAGACTTTCTTTAGGAAATTATATGTAACAGATTTTTTAAAATCAAATAACACATATTTCCTAACTCAATCTTTCCATTCCTATTGAATATTTGACCTGTTATCTCAGTCTCTACACTCTTCTCTGCTCTTCAGAAAACATGATTTTTTTTTCCCCTCTTCAGTTCAGTTACTATGTATGAGAAACCAGATTACTAGTAACTGGGTAATCCTACTATCTAGATTCAAAAATTAACAAGGTAGAGAACAATACAATGTTATTAGAATAAAAACAAACCACTGATCATTGGTTACTAAGTTTCTGGACGAGAAGTGGATTCAGCTTAACAGAGGAAGTCAGTATCAACTAAAAGTGTCCAGGGAATTAAAATTGTTCATAGTTAATATATTTTCTGGGCTATATCTGTAACTGGAAATGGTGCTTTACGTATATTGTACTCACCACTTGTGATACAAGGAGTTATTTTTAACATGTTTTCAACTTGATTTCCTCAAGAATCAAAGCTTATATGAACTGTGTACATGTCTATAATCTTTTATATTCTCTCATTCCATCTAAAAACTTCGCCTGGTCAATTCACTCTATTCTACAGAAGGGCAAAAGTTAGTCATTAAGCTCTCAGAAGTGACATGGAAGTAGGTATCTAGAAAAAGGAAGAATCCTACTGTTAGTCTAATTAAGGGCCATCAAAGAATCACTGAAATTCATCCTTCCAAGCTGCACAGGAACTGCTCAGGAGGCTACCTTTCAAACAGGTGCTGCTCCAGTATTTTCTACCATGAGAAATTAACTCAGTTTACTTCAATACACCAGACACTAGTATGTCTCTCTGTTTACTCAAAAGCATTTCTTCAAGGCACACCAAGAAGGAGCAGCAACATACTTCAGTTCTTGATTTGGCACCATCTTTTAGATGACTTGACACTTCAGTGCATTTGCTATCAGAAGCATAGGATAGCACTGCATCTGGAATACATAGACTAAAAATGCACAAGTGCTTCAATTTAAATTTGTTGTTTCATTAGCTTAACACCAATAAGCAAACCATTCCATCAATTCCCAAAGGCAGAATGCAACCTTAGGAATCATATGTGTGAAAACCATAATGCATTAAAATACATGTAAAGCATGCTGCTAGGGAATTGTCAAAAAAAAATTAGTTAGGGATTAATTTCTCCAGCACACTACTGTCATATTTTTTACATCTTTACATCGTATTGGCATGAATATGCACAGCAGATAAATCAGATCCTTGAACAAGATAGAAATAAGAAAATAATTTTGCTGGTAATACTGAACTTCACTACCAGGGAGATTTTGTCCTAACATGTACCTTTTATGTTGTTCTTCCCTGCTCCCTTCCAGCACAGCTTTTTAAAATTTTTAATGTCTTTTCCACACTTTCAAGGCAAAATTCAGTTTGGCCACCTGTAGGCTGCTTCAAGTCACAGGAGATGACCCAGAACTACACACTACATTCATAATGGATACATATTTTAGACCATTTCCCAGATTTTAAACAGGTATATTTTCTTTACTGGAGTGCATTAGGTAAGGTGAGATAGTCCTTTTTTCCCTATGAAAATATTACAAATGTAATCAGGCATCTCCTATGTCAACGGTACAACAAAATCTTATACACTACAAGAAGCCAAACCAAACAAATCAACAAACAAATCAGGATAACCAGATGACCATATACACAAACCAGTACATTAAGTATACTTTCCTTTGAGTACAAAATTTCATGGTATTACTATTATGATGAAAACATGGGAAAAAAAATCAGTATGAACTTCCAAAAAATACTTAAGAAAACCAGTATAGCCCGTTTGAGAAATATGAATGTACTTGACTCTGAAGTGATGATTCCTTATTAAATGCATTCCTGCAGAGGAAGAGAAAGCATTTGCTCCTAATGTTGCCTCCCCCTGCAATTCATATCCAGCAATTAAAATAAGTCAGAGAAAACACTTTGGTTTTTAGGTTCACTTTCAAGGAATTTAGCACTGATATATCAGTTAATGCTGTTACTCCAGGAAAACTTGTCTTCAACCAGTGTGTCAGAGGCAATATATAAGGCACAAAGGTAAGAAACCTCATACTTATTTTGCCTTTCTTTCAGACTACAGCCACTGGGGGAATATGACTGTTGCAGCAGAGGAAGGTGTACAAACAACCAGCGAGAAGTCGCTTGCTACCACAAACAGAGCTTTGAGATTGGGGAAATGCCTGTGGTTAAGCAAAAAATAATTTCCTCAAATGACAGGTGAATTCCCTTCCAGTTTTATTATTACTATGCAGAAAATTTATGATGAGAGAGACCATTGGTTTCCTCTTCCATAGTCCTGCAATATTTTAAGTTATTTCTGAGCCTTTCAAAACTCTCCCTAGATCCAAATACTAGCAATACATGCTTGTGGTACATAAATATTTGTTTATGTAAATATATTTAAATTCAAATATTTAATCTTGCCAGGTAAACATAAGAAAAATAATGCTGATATACTTTTTACAAAAGACTTAGCTCATGGTTTTAATTTCTTATTTATAGTAGCTTACCTCGCTCGATGAAAATACTAACACATCTTAAGAAGTACTTTTTTTTCTGGTTTCTCAAGAAAATATTTGATTGCTGCCATCTTATTAGAGGCATCAGCTTTTCATTTGAACAATTAAATGGAGGGAAGTTATTTAAAAATGGGGCTGACGTGCCTCTGCAGTACTTTAATACCAGGTTGCTCGTATCTAAAGTTGCTTTTATGCTGAATATCAATATGCAATTAGATAGAGACAACATAAGTGCTGGACCTCAGCAGAAGACTCTTTGGGCATTTGTAAGCTCCTTGCTTATTTATGCTGCCACAGTCTATCAAACAACTCTCATGTCGGCACAATCAAGCCACCAAAACAAATGGCTATAAATACAGTCAAAGCAAGAGATAACAATAGGCAGAACAACTAAGTCCTCATTTAAAGATGAAACGGTGGTTTTGAGTGAGCAGTATGCGATTAACCTGCTGTATATGGGGTCAACATGATTTATTCTCACAGCTATGCAGTAAGCCTTAGTCCTGGAACTCACTTGCTGTCAGAGATAAGCTTTTCTCAAATCAACCCTCCCCTATGTCTCTCTAACACTTGAAGCTCTTACTTAGGAAAATTAACTGTCGTGTCCTTCATTTAAATTATTTCCACCCCTGCTTGAAAATAATTGTTAGTCTAACAGACAGTTTGCCCATGTGCACTTTCTTTTCTCCTGTCCATCTATGTGCTGCCTGCAACGCTTCAGCACTCTATAAGCAGATCTTGAAAACCATAAACAGAAAGGGGGGGGAAAAAAGAGGTGTCCTTATTTTGTCTGAAGTCTGAGTATTGCTAGAACAGTACTCTCTTGGCTCAATACCAAAGAATAAAAAGCAGCAGACCATTACATTTTAACACAATTGAGTGGTTCAAAATAGAGAGACAGTACTGGCTTTGCTTTGAAACTTTAATAGCAGCACCACAATTCATTAAAAAAAACTACTTTATGTGTGGGGATGACCCTCTTACCTTTTGTAGCTATTCGAACACACTGAGTTTTGGTTTCCTGTTAAGGAAATAAAAATAAAGAAAACAATCAGATCAAGGGCTTTTTCTTGTCCTCCCCACTCCATAAATTCACCTGAGATCTACTGATCAGCTGGTACAACCCAATGAGTTGGCTCACGGCTCTGGGCTTAGCAGGGGTGGAGGATGGGGAATTTTGCCATGATTGGACTGTGCTGTCCAGGATAACAGTGGGGAGAAAAGGTGCAGGACAACCCAAATATAGCAAAATTTCAGGTTATTCAAATCAAATGGAAATCATGCCATAAGAATACAAAGAGAGGGTGCAGCAGGAGGAAAAGGGAGGAGTGGTGCTCCTATTTATGCCACAGCACAAAACCCCTGAGCTTGTGTTGACCTGATGCAGCACTGTACAGCAAAGAAGATACAATCACTCAGCACTGTCTCCAAAATTATGTCTTGCTACATCCTGACACTCTTAAAGAGTCACCTGAAGCACATGAGCAACACGCTCCCTCATGCTTCTGTGTGTGGAACAAGCATAGATGCAGCTCAGATATCCCTCCACATATGACACAGCTAATCTAAAACCTATACTGTCTGCCCAGGAGACAGTGATTTGACAGCAATGTGCTTCAGAAGATGTTGCACATGCAAAGGCAATTTGTGTGTAATTTACCACTCTCTCCTTTCCCCTCAGAAGTTTGGCCACCAATTAAAACAAATGAACAGAGAAATGACTTGGTTATGCACAGTTTGGACAACTTGAACAGACAAAGGTCAATCATAATGAGGTTTCTGACCTTCCTGCACAATGTGCAGTAATTTTAAAGGCAAACATACTGAAATAGCATAAGGTTGTGTGAGAGGATGCAGCTGCTGTGGTATTAGATCACTCTAAACAATATTAGCATGTAATTTGAAAATATAATAATGACAGTTTCACTCTATAAAATATTCTCACTCTAGTCCTCCATCCCTCAGTATTCCATTCCCAAATACATCCTCTGGCATCTGTCTCCTCTGAAGATTCAAAAGCAGCAGTTAAATACGTTGCTGGCAGTTTGTAAATACTGCTTGTAAAGAGCTAGCAAAACTCTTAAGTTGAGACACTCTAAGTGCCTCAATAAGGACAATTCAATAAGGACAATTTTTCAATCAAAATGAAAGCCCTGCAAAGTTTACTAACATAATCTTACCTATTTTCCCTAGTTACTGGATTTACTTGTCTGTTTCTGTTCAATATGTCTGTGAGGATCACAGAGTAACCTCCTCTCAACCCTACCATGTACTTCAGAGCCTACTTTCCTTCCCTCTGCCTATTTTGGTGATTCCACTGGTTTACAGCAAAGCATCTGTTTAAATGTTCTGCAGTTCAGAGGTTATCTTACAACCACTAGATCTCTGTCCTGGCAAAATGCAATTCAATTCCCCTCAAAACCTCCCCCTAAATCCCTGTAGGAACAGAAATTTGATCCAAAATTTCAAACATTAGAAGGAAATTTGTTTTAGGATTACAATCTCTCACAAACTGAAATCAAGTTTAAGTAAAAATACTGTGTTCTTCTCTCATTTTCTACTTATCTGTCAAAATGTAAAAGCCAAAATAAATACCTATGTTTTTATTTAATACTTTCATTTTATTTTTCTCTCCCCTTGTTTTTTTTACCTCAGGGAATGAAACAAATTTCCTTACAATGCAGTCTAGTGGAAATCCACAAAAGCAAAGGAAATTATTTTAGCAGGTGAGGGAAATATGGATGGGTGTCTAGCAGTCACTTTTTATTTCGCTTTGTTTATTTCATACAGGTTTTTAAATAAGAACTGAAAGGAGAGTATGGTCTACTGAATCAGAAGAAAAAAAAAATCCAGTTTCCAAACACCTTTGTACCCATTCTGACTGGAAGCATATCTAGTTTTCATAATCACAGGTAAAGGCTGAGATTTTCTTCAAAAGACTCCAAGGCAAGGCTGCCTGTTAGCAAGGATTTGTTTAGTCAGCAGAGAGAACCAAGCATAAAGAAGCTTAAATACGGCTTCTGCTCCTTTCCAATGGTTCTGGTGGATATCAGTTGAAGATCAGTCTAGTTGTTCTTTCTTGTTCCTGTCGAAATGGCCTGGACAATTCCAGTTTTCTAAACTATATATCCAAATATTAAATTTTAAATATCTAAAGCTTCTCTGTCTACCATATTTTCCCTTCTCACCAATCCTTTTCCTCTCCTTCATTTTTCATTTACAAGAGGAAAAACCATTTAAGAACAACAGCCTGTGACTTGTAGAGCCACAGTGGTTCTTTGCACCTGGAACCTCAGAACTTCTCCCTCTGACACTTCTCCTCCCCTCCTTCCACATGCATACAGAGCCAGTAGCAGTACTCAGCAGCAGAGTTAAAAAGAAACACCAAGGAGGTAATGAAGGTGAATGATAGCCATAATTCTACTCCAGTGCTGCAAGCCTTCTGAAGCTGTACACCTCCTCTGAAAGACTCTCAATCTCATGTTGGGCCAGGGGTTACTTTTGCCCAAGAAAATTCTTATTTTTTATTTGATGTCCAGTATGAGAGTCTTATAAAGTTTTCAATGTTTTACTAGTCCACTGAGCAGCCCACATTCTCTTTATCCTGCTGTAACCCAATCTTGTGAGGAGTGCAAGTACTGAGAACTGGGGAAAGTGCTGTGGATGGTATTTACCAAGGAGGCGAAGTCACAGTCCTGAAATTACTTCCCTCAGACAATTACTATGAGATGCATTAAACTCTCATCTAGTAGCAGTTACTATGACACGAGGCTGATGTGAAATGTGAATGGCACACTGCCATGCTGTCACAGCACGGAGGGGATTTCAGCCATGCCACTGCCAACACCTCCCACATCCAACTCCAGCAGTCCTAACTGTCACCACAGCAATGTCTTTGACTGCTCCCAGGAGAAAGGTGCTGTCAGCACTTGCCTTCTCAACGCTGCTCATGGCCTGGAAATAGATGTTGTAGCCTTTCCGAGGAGCCAGCGGCGGGTTCCAGAAACCTTGGTATGTCCTGTTGTCACCCACAGTAAAGGGGGCTGGCTCTGGCAGGTTTCCTGGGGGCAGCTGAGCAGCAAAGTAATATGGTGACCCTCCACTAAGAGCAGTCTGATAGGTGACAGGGATTTGGTAGCACTCCATGGCACCAGTTTCTCTCTTCGTTCGGTGCGGGTGCAGCTCCTCAACAACGATCTGGTAGGCACTGGTGAGACAGAGGAAAAAAGGACAAGACAGGAGATGGATGCAGACAAGAAACAAAGGCTGGAAATATAGCAAAGCTATTTATTTCAGCTGTTAGAAAGAAGCAGCTTCCACTCTTTTTTCATGAAAAACAACAATACAAATCCACACATGACCTCTTATTATTACTTTTTTTAAAACCTTTTTTTTTTGAAGAAACACAGGAAAAACTGTGTTAAACTATAACAGATTAAATCCTTGGCTGATCAGAAGCAATCTGAAGTTAGCATTTTCCTTTGAAACAGTATTAGAGAAAGCTGAGCTTCAAGACCCAACATAATGGCTGCCTCCAGGCTGTGCTTGAAGCACCAATTTGCAGTTGTCATATCATTAGAGACAGAATGTGCTGACAGGCTTCTCCACCTCTTGACCTTGCTGTGGCTTCTATCTTGGCTCAGAGCTATGCAGATCTAAAGTACAAGTGACATGCTGTAATACAAGCACAGATGGACAGAAATCTGTCCATTCCACTGAAATAGACTGCCTCATTCCTTTACAGTTGTCAATGATAAAATGTTATGAATTGCTGAAGCAGAGAGTATTCAGCCCATCAAAACACCATCTTAACCTCCCAATACCTCTGTTGAAATGGATCATGGCTTAGTCACTTTTCAAAATCACCTGCTCAAAATAGACCAGGTAATTATAATTCTTCTTTCTCCTTTAGAGGAACTACCTAAAGGAGTTACCAACTCATCAGCTTCCTCTGCTTTTCAGAAGTACAGAACTTATGTAGCGAGAGCAGAAGGAAATCCTCCATTTTATAAGGAAAAAAAAAAGAGGTTTGGGGGTCTAAGGCATGTAGACAAGAAACCTGAAGCTTTTGAATTAAACTGGCAGACTTGTCTGTCTTGGGTTTGTTATAAAGGTTTCTAAACCGAAAAGGTAAAATTGAAACAGGTTCTCGAAGTGTCACTGCCTTGCTGTAAGGACTCTGAAAGGCAAAGACAGTCTTCCTCCTTTCAGAACTTATGGGGCAGCATTAAATTATTTTGTCAATTTTCTCTGCTACTGCTGCCCAGAAAACCCAATAACTGCAGTGGCAGAGATAAAGTATGATGCTGGAGAATGGAAGAAAGAGGAGAAGAAATAAAATGAGAAATCAGTTTCATGTCCTTCTTAGGCTGAAAGGAAAAGTTAGCATCCCCTTTTCCTAGCATGTAAAAATTAAGCAGGAATGCCTCTTTCTTCCATTTCAATATGCCCAACTAGAATATAGAAAGTCACATCAGTTTTGAAAGTCCAGGTAGAAAGAAGAATGTAAAAAAAAAAAGGTTAGACCTGGGGATATTTATTTCTCATAAACCGACCATGAACTGAGCTCAGTTATACATCACCTTCTGTGGTAAACTATTGCATTAACCATCTCCAGTTAATGGGGACTGTACCAACAAATCACTTGCACAAAACCCCTGTATATCCAGCATATTTCTTTATGCTTCAAAATAAATATACTAGCAAAAAAAAAACCTAAAAGCGGTGATATTTTAAAAGCTTGACAGGATGAAAAATATTTTTAAAAATTTTATTTATAATGTCCCAAGGTAAGAAATTCATTCCCTCCCTGGCCTGGTCACCTAGCCCTGGACACAGGCAGGGAAAAAATCTGTTTCAGAATTGGGCAGACAACCAACTGGAGAGCACTGGGACACAGACACCATGTCTCTGCTGCCTGAATTCTGCAGTCTTCTCTCATCAGCTGCCAGTGGTCTGGGACAGACACAAATTCTGCTCTCAGAAGTGACAGAAGAGCAGGAAACTTGTCTGTGACACCCTGGGAGCTTCAAAGGAGAAAGCCAGCAGGGACAGAGGAAGGACAGTGCAATGCCTGCAAGGGTCCCCTGGAACAGCCTGGTTTGTCACACAGCTCCGAAAATGAGACACACCACAGTTACCAAACCAACCTCTCTTTCCCCCTCCATTTTATAGAATAAGGGATAAGTGGGGTATCTTCATTTTAAGGCCTATTTCCTTTTTAAGGGTCAAGTCTCTTTGGAGATAAAAAAAAAAAAAAAAAAAAAAAAAAAAAAAAAAAGAAGGGCAGGAGAATCAAACCAGTTAGAAGCCTCTTTTTATAGCACTCTTTAAAATAACACTGTAATTTTTGAATGGAATATAAAAGGTATGTCAAAATTTTAAGCATGAGATAACAATAAAATGTGAAGGTTCTGAAAACCAAATAAATTAATTTATATAAAATATATTCTAAAAATGCTTTTTGGATCCCTACATATGAAAAGCTACAATATGTGGGAAATAAGACATAGATATACATATTGTAGACATCTACACTTACACAATAGAAAAAACAGCAAATGACAGAAACTATTTTAAGTCTCAAACACAGCTTTTTAAATTTTGGGTTTTTTTAAAAAGTACATATTTGCCTATCCTCTTTGATAGGTGATCTGGCATTATTTTTCATGCAGCATTATAAGCTAACAAGACATGGAGGAATACAGTCATTTACCTCTGGGCCCTTTGTGATACCATCTGTTTAAACCCATTTACTAAACACTGCAGTGGCTCCAGAGCAGCACTGTTACTCTGTGCACATAACAATGTTCGGAAAGGACACCCTGCTGTAACATGTGATGAAACAAGTCAATGTTAACTTACAACTTGAAAAGTAGAGTGTTCACTGGCTGCAACTGTGTTTTGATATCAGGTATTAGTGAAAATTTAACTATGTATTATGTTTATCCCTGTATCTTTACATATAATTAATCCCAGATTCAATTTTCTTAGGTTTTCTAGAAATTATTTTTGTGCTGGTGAGGATTCAATTATTGAGAGAGCTTTTTTGTGACAGGAGCTGAGGAAATTCCTGCAATAGCATTTTTCCCTCGTCTTTCCATACAGCAAAGAAGGATTAAATAGGGAAATAGAGAGTGGAAAGCTTAGATGACAATACTCCTTCTGCTTGATGACTAAAATAAATTCTGAGCTATTCTGAAGAGTAATAAAAATTTCAGAACCTGCTACATACGTCATCAGGATCATAAAGGCCAAACAATTGTCTGAGACAGCCAGGCAAGCAGAGAAAATTTGAAGATACAGCAGCTGAAAATCTCCTCAGCTGAAACTTTCCATAAAGAACTTATTTCTGTGACAGAAGTTGTTTTCTTCCTTTTGTTAACCTAAGGAAACCTGTACAGTATTTTGCTGTTGACCAAGATAATTGCAAACAGATGAAGGAGGTCTCTGATGACATCTTCCTTTTTATCCCTCCCTAAAAATTCAGGCTCCCAAAAAGGTGTGGCACTGGTGAATGTTGTTCATACTTTAGCCCTATTCTGACTAGACTTTAAATCCTGCTGCACATTTCTCTCTATGTGTCTAGAGGACATACATCTTCCTCTCCTTTGACAAGCACCAGACTGACTGACGAGCCCAAGTTTCAGCCCCAGTTCTTGGAATTCTAATTGACAATGATTGTTTTAGTTGTTCCCTGCCATGGTCCCCTGAATTAATCTTGCTGCAAAATGAAAACAACCTAATTCTTCATAAAAGGCAGTATAAGAAAAGCACTTTAAAAAAATAAAATAAATTTAATCATTAAAATTTTACTCTGATTCTGATGTACACTCTTTGTAATCCTAATCAGCAGTAGGATTTGAAAACAAAAAATAGTTTTTCTGGTACTCAGTTAGGAACCTTCAGAAAAACAACAGCAACAAATCACATCTTCAAATGCATCACCGAAGCACCATTGATTCTACTGACTGGAATCTCATCCATAAGATTGATGGTGAAGTAATACACACTTCAAAGTGAGCCTGAGCCATCCAGCTTTGTCTCCCTTTGCATTTCTAGTTTGTAATTTAGTTTTAAAACTCCAGGAGGCCATAAAGAATGCTAGGGATTGAACAATAAAACCTGACAGTGAAGGTATGATTAGAGTCATGTTAAAACTGGGATGATTAGGGCAGCCAGGCAGTGTTTTAAAGAAATACCACAAGTAGATTATAGTTAAGGAACATCTGCTTGCTGACAGGCTGTGCTGATGGGGAGGCTATGATGGAAATCATAGCATAAGTCCATTTGTAAAAGCAAGAGTATCAGACTAAACTTTTTTTCCTTTTCCTTTTTTTTAACATGAACCTACTGATATTAAATGGAATTACCATCTACAGCTCCAGAGATTACACGACTGGGGACTGGGTAGAAACAAAACTTTTCAAAAAGCCAGCTGTATTCTTCAGGGTCAGGCTACAGAGCAGGATCTGAGTCTCTTCTACTCCATCACAGCTGCAGGCACGGTGATCCATTTTTTCCCCACCTACCTAGTAACACTCATTATGGCAGCAAGCCAGCTTCTAGAGGAAACAAAACTGCAGTGTGGATGGAGTGAAGCTTCACTAAAGTATATCATAAAGTCTAGCAAAATTCATTGAATCAATTCAGAATTTCAGTGTGCTACATTTAACTCCCTATTAAGAAGCTGCTGAAAATACCTGACTGCAATAAGCATAACTTCAGAAAAGGCAATAACACCATGTCTTCTGCATTCCTCTGGAGAATGCTTTCATTCCAAGTAAGGAATAAAACACCTGGTTGATTTTAAGAATAAAGCCCAAGTCTCCAGTTATGGTAAAGGACTTATTTCCTTGGCCTCTTGATGTTAAGAACTTGATGTAAGGTTTTAGAAATTAACTCAAATGGAGAGGGAAGATAACAGAATTGAAGAAAGAAGTATGCTTTTTTGAGAATACAGTCAAACAGCAATTATTAATTCTCTACGAAACTATCACTATCAAACTGTCTATTAACATTCAGTACATAGATCCTTTCTGCCATCTTCCTAGGCCACAGTGACAAGCTCATGCCATTAAACTGAGGATGCTGGGAGGAAAACTGACAGAAGAAATGTGGGTTTGCAGAGCAGAGAAACCAGAACTTCTTGAGCTAGGTTGAGTAATTTTCTAGCTCCATGAGTAATTCTCTAGCCACATCCCATCATTCTACCAGTTCACAGAATAACCACCCCTCCAGGAGAGAAGCCCAGGACTAAAGACTGACTCCCCTGAAGGTGTGTGGTGGGATTGAAGGTGGAAGCCTGCTGCTGTCAGCACAGGAGTGCCCTGGAGCAGCTGCTGTAAAGAAGATGTGCACCTCCACCAACAGTAGATCCCAGTGGTGTCCAGCAGGCATGCTCTGGGCAGCAATTTGCCTCAGCTCCCTCAGACACAAGACTGAAAGGATGTGGCATGGATTACATGAGTGACAGATATCACATTTCCTAAACAAGGACAGCTTTCATTAGGGCCAGCAGCAGGAAACTTGGAAGTCTTTAAAAACACCTACAAAGGAATATAGTGAAGTGAGTTTAAGCACCTACATTTGGGAGCATTTTCAGACCACAATTCTGGTTTCCATGGTATTAATTAAAAAAAAAATACATATATATATCCCGCTTTTAAGAATCCAAGTCCCGTGCTGAAAGCAGCCCTGCTCCCCAAAAGTCCTAGGCTCACCCCAGGGCAATTTCTCAGAAAGGAATGATACATGGGATTACAATTTTTAAAATAGCATGACAAAATCTCCTGAAAAGGGGATGAATCTGGGTTATCCTCTATGACAGAATAGAAATAAATAACTTGATAATATCAATTATAAGAGTGATTATATGATAAGCACATAAAAATGCATATAGGGGTATGACTCATCCCCCACAACATTCATGTAAAACATGCATTTCTCTTAATGGAAAAAGACTTAAGAAATAGTTAATTTTCCTCTGCTTTTAGGGCTTGGGCACATGACTCGACATCAACTGAGCCTTGATAGCAGACTTAATGTAACACAGAATGAAATGCATTAGCCTGCGTTTCTCTAAAATGTCACAAGGGTAATAGCATGAAAACCTTCTGATGCTCAGCAGCTAATTAACCCCCAATTAGTCAACCTTGCCCCTGAATATTGCTGATGCATGCACATCAGTAAAACACAAATGGAATCAAATAATATCATAAAATTTTTACACTAACAAGTAGAAGTAAAGAGCAGGATGTGGACTAATCTTTGCAAACAAAATTAAATTATCTCTCAACAGAGAGCAGAAAGGGAAAGACCCCTCAAAGTTAACATAAATGAAACATTTTAATATGATTAGAGGACACGCCAAATAAAATTTAATAGCTTGCTACATGATTCCTAGTAAGAAGCACTCTCAGAAGAAAAAGGTCAAATAGTTTGTATTCACCACTATTATTCTTCCATTTCCCCATAGCTTACAATTTTCCAATCATACACATATGCTACAGAGTAGCTGACTTTGAAGCACTGGAGAGGAAGTGTTATTTTCAATTTTACCTTCTGACAAACACCTTTCAGCCTCATATTTCAGAGGCACTGTGAGAAAGTAAAATGAAATTATAATGGCTAGAAGATGGTTCTGGGGACCCTATATCAAACAGGTCAGGTAGCTGAATGATTCAGGTCATGACTATCTTTTAAAAAAATCCCTGCCAAACCCAGAATTTATTTAATTACATGTCTATTGTCAATCTAGGTGTAGGTAAGAAAAAAAATAGTGATGTTAAATAAATATCACTCAGAAATGAACAGTTCTATGTATGGTGATATAACAAATATTCAACTAAAAAAAAAATCTTGAATTTTTTTATATAGATTTTTCTTTTTTTTTTTTTTTTTTTACCTGATAGGTGCACCTTTGGCTTGTGCAGGTCTCAAGAGTACAGTTATTGTAGTAGCAGTTTCATTGAGGGATGCATCGACTCCTTCATAGTCTGGTAAAGTGGGAGCTGATTAATGTTGAGTGGGAAGGAAAAGAACAAGAAACAAATCAGTGAAAACATTTTGAATTTTTATGATGTTCTGGCTGTTTGGAATATAAAACAAAGCCCCAGTCTTTATCAGCCATGTGAGTATTTTTAAACAGTTTTTCCAGTCAGGCACAATCTTTTACTACAGCATGAATAGGACTTTATGAACAATTGATAACTCTGTCCCTAACCACTTCCTATCAAATCATGACACCTCTCAACTTGAAGCACCTTTATTCAAGATGGACAGAAAAATAGGGAAGAGGTGACTGACAATAAACCTTAAACTACAAAAAACCCAACATTTTGGCCTCAATTATTCTAACCTGCTAATAACTACAGTCACTGTGTCAAAAATCCAGCTTCTACCATCCTCCTGTAACAACTTAAAAACCTTTCAGTTTTTCTCTTGAACATCATGAGAAATAATGCTAATACCAACCAGTGTGCAGGAAAATTGGACTTATATAGACATGCATCTGAGGACTAGAACTGGATCAGGGAATCTATTCCCATGCCTATTCCTATCAATGGATGGCCAAGCTGCTCATTAATCAGCTTCAAAACTACTATGAAAGAACAAAATCAAAGTCAAAAACAGAAGTAGTTCAGGAACTGATTCACTAATGGACTGTCAGACTGTCACGCCTTCATGGCAGCAATATTTGCTGTGGGTGGGATGGCTAGTGTTGGCAATTTATTCAACCATCCAGCTTTAATCTGCTGTCTGTTACAGTCCTCACTGGTAATACTGACTTCAGCCCCAGGACATGGAAAGAAACAGGATTTTCTGTGAATCAGAAAATAATAGATTTCTAATAATTATTATTTTTTCATAAGTTTGAAAACTATCTGTATGTTTGTGTTTTCTTTTAAATATGTGACTGTATCATTATGAAATCATTAATGAAGTCTGTATATTTCAAAATAAACTTTCACAAAAAGATGTTTCCAAGCAGGACATCATTTAAGTCATAATAATTTTACAATACTGTATCAATAGATAGAAGAGCTCTGAAAGATTAAAAGCCTTGCTTCATTAGTTCTAGATCCTAGATGAATGTAAAACCTGTTCTTATTTCAGGAAATAATATTTTATAGAATTAATGTTCATTTAATGTTAATTTTAAAATTACTGCTTACACCATGTTCACTAGAATAACAGTAACCACTTGTAAGCTTAGTTAAAAGGAATAATTTCACCCCTCATTAAACTAAAGTTAGCATTTTTTGAAACATGCATTGCTCCATATAAAGTACCAGTCGTGCAGAGTAGAACTAGACAACAGTTCCATGTAAAGCAAAATAGAAAGAACAGGCTGAAGTTCAGATACAAGGAGTGTCACAGCCTGCCTTTGAGCTTTCTGAGCATTAACCATGTCTTGCCAACTAACAAGATATATACTCTGCCTAGAAAGTTGTGCTGTACTGGATTCTAGACAAAAGTCCCAACATTTCTGTGTGGAAAAGAGGTTTCTGAAGAAACCTGAATTCACTGTATTCCTAAATAATCCAAACACATTGAGACACCTTTTTCTCAAAATACTGAAATATCAGACATGATAGCAAGATATACACCTCTTTTCTTTTCCTTCTACAAAGAGTTTAGAAGACACAAGTATGCAAGTACTACACCACCATCATATCTGAAAATTTATGAACTAGAATTTGTTGTGAAGAAACACAAGGACCTTGAAACAACCTGAGTAAAATATCAGACTTCTAAACAGCCTAATAGCTACATAAACAGAACACATCTCATCATTTGGGGTTTTTTGGTGCATTGGGTTAGGTTGTTTTGAAGGGACAAGGGTATGAAGAGTGCTAGTGCTTATGTTCTGGGATGGAATTCCACAGAGTGTTCCAGTTAGCCATGACAACTACAGCATTTAATTTGCAACATAATTCAAGGAGCTCTGCTTGAATTTTCTCACATTTTGATTTATGCGTGTGTTTTCACATACTGTGAGGAGACTACGTGAACAGTGTCCCACAAAAATCATGGGTGTATCACACAATTAACTTCTCTTTACAGGACAATCTGAGTTTCATTATGAGAGATAATGAGGAAAATAGCCTGCTTTGTGCTGCTTAAATTTGTAAATGACTGACTTCGTTGATCTCTGCCAAGCTCTGAAGTCACCATGTCACAAAATCAAGTTTCTCTGAATATAGCATTGATTAATTTTCTGCTATCAACTGCATAAGCCACTATTTTTCTTTTTGTGAAAAACATTGAAATTTAAGAAAATAAAAATACCAAAGCATTTAATTTGACATTTCTATCTTCTAGAGTTTACAGTGCATTGTTAAGACAAACAGTGTCGAAGCTGGTGCACTGAAATAAATGAATAAAGGCACAAAGAAGCAGACCTATATGAATCTGGCAGAAGAAATTCATACATTGTCCCAACTGCCCTGACCCTGTTACAGCTGTGCGCTGCTAAGTGGTGTCACCTCAGTAAGTCAGTAATTTTCTGCACCTGACTTTACTAACCTGCAAGATAGATGCAGTTCTTAGTGACCCATGGAGTGTTGAAAGGCCTAATTAGTTCAGGTTTACACAGCACTTCAAAATTTTTGGATGAAAGTACTAGATTACACAGAAAAAACAGTTCACAAGTACAGCTGAGCAATTTTCACCTCATGCAAGGATTTGTCCCTGAAGGTATGCTACCCTGAGGTGAATACACACAGAAACATTTTTAGCAACATAATTTCTTAACGTGGTAGGATTTTTTGTGGAGGTTTTCTTAAGCATTTCACAATTTCCCAAGACATATAAAATATTCAAAGGCCATCTCCCCCCTCCCCTTCCCTGTTATTTCTTTGTTCTGTTATTTGTTTTTACCTGAGATGTTGGTTGTTACATTGATCGTCGTTGCTGGTCCAAACCCTTTGACGGTGCTTGCACGTATGAAGAACTGGTAGGTAGTACCAGGGTGCAGGTGAGAGAAGACGTGGTGTGTGCTGTTCCACAGCTTGGATACTGTTTGTGGAGGTCCTGCCACTGGAACTGCAGGATCAAATGACTGTATACTGCTGTAGCTGACCTGGGGAAACAATTATTTTTGCAACAGCTCTTAAAGGTTTTGGCACAATGGATTTAGGTTAGCTTGGCTGGAAAGGAAACAAAAGACACGCTCATCTAGCTACCCATTTATCTCGAGGATACCACAGGACCACAGAATCATTTAGGTTGGAAAAGATCCTTCAGATCATTGATTCCAACCATTAACCCAACAATGCCAAGTCCAGCACTAAACCAATGAGGATTTAATGTGTATTATTCAAGAGTTTGTCTTATTTGAAAGGCTATGCAGGCACCCTTCATCATTAATGCTGGATGACAGACTCCCTTGCTGGTTATAAAATCATCGTCAAAAGCTTTGAGCTTCACAATTTGCTTTCTTTGTAGCTGCTCTTTCACAGCTAATGTCACTACTCCTGTTAATCCACTGCCTTTTGCATCTGTTTCCAATTAAAAACTAAAGAAGCATTTATCTGCTTTAATCCCATTCATCAACTGCTTTTACATAGTTCATGTGTGGAAAATGTCACTGTTACATTCCACTGAGGGGAAGTGAGCGAAAGGCTGAGTAGGGTTGAGCTGCCCACCTCATTTAATCCACATTATTTAGAGCATTTTGTCTGCATTAAATAAATAAATAGATAGATTTTAAAGGCATTTTGTTTGGTTTCCCTTCCTATAATTCACTAATACACAAAGTTATATTTTCTGTTCCTTTAAAAGAGGGGTGCTGGTAAGTATGGTGTTTGTTGCTCAAATCAGGTTGTATTATCTGTCAATTTCCTGTGGAGGTCCCCAGAAGGCTCATAAATTAAATACACTTTAAACAGAATTTATATGGAGGTTTTCTTAAAGGGCGATATCTAAAAATCTAACAAAGCTAAAAAAACATTGCTCCAAATTTAATAACAATCTTACTTTTCATGTAAGTAAGTTATTTTCTTCCAATGAAGAAAATTTTGCAGATCATGGCTGTCATGGCTTTGGAATGGTGTATAGTAACAATAAAAGATTTTTAAGGCATTTGACAGGGATGGACAGTCATTTGCACCATAATTACAAATTTTGAGTATCTAATCATTATAGAAAATTGCATATTCAGTAAATGAAAGGAGCATATTATTGAATAGCTGTGTACAGAGCATAAACACCCACTGTCAGCCACCTCTCTTGCTGCACCTTCCTAGCCCCATCCTATGCTTGTTAGGCATTTAATGATTACCTCATATTGAGTAATGATGCCATTTGGATCCACAGGTTCCTTCCAGTTGAGGAAGATCTTATCTTCAAAAGGAGTTCCTTTCACTGATTTGGCAGGTATAGGGCCTGGCACTACAAACAAAATTGAAGTTTTAAAAATAAGAAATTCAAGAGACAGAAAAACTAAAGAGGTGACAGAACATCCTATTAAAACGAAAACTGAGCACAGATCTATTTTTATTAATATTCATTTGCATGCAAAAGGCAATGGTAGAGTGTGTGAAAAAGCACTTCAAAGTGTATTTTGTCATTTGCAGTGCAGAGAGAGCATGAAGTTGAAACATTAACGTTATCCCCACATACAGTTTTCAAAACTCCATGCAAAGTCAAATTGTCTCGTAGTATAGCCAGGGGAAACAGTTCAAGCTAGATTACAACTTCAGGGAACATCACTGAACTCTGTAATAAGCGTATCTTAGGACAAGGACTACATGGTTCTAAAATACTTTTAAAAGGAAAAAATCAAAGGCAAGGAAGAGCTTCTGTTATGCAACTTCTTCCAAAGCAGAGAAATTTTTACAAAATAGTTCTCAGTCACATCTTCTCATGATTTGTTGTTTTAAGAGAAATCCTCATTTAAAAGAGAGGGCTGAACATAAGGAAGCACACCAGCTCAGCTGCCATTTCTTTCAGCCTTTGACCTCCTCATGTGCAGAAGGATCAAGACTGCTCACTTCAAATCTTTCCAATAAGAGATGTTTTCAAAACTTTGAACTGAACAACACTAAGATGACCTTACTTTCTTATTTTAAATGGAACCAATATCCCTGGTGTAATAACAAGTCTGAAATGTCACCTCGGGCCTCTTTGCCCAAGTGATTCACAGCACCTGGTAATCCCATCAACACCAGGCAAAAGCACTTAGTTATCTCCCATTACAGCTTACAAGATATTTCTGCCTACATATACAATTCCTTTTTATCAGAGCAGCTCACTTAGATTGGAACACACACATGCTGAAAGAAGGAGGTAAGCATAAGTGACCGCCTGGAGAAATTCTGAACCCAATGAAACACCTTCCCCCCTCAAAGAAACAAGGTTGTTCAAATTGGCAGACTTTTGATCTGAAATGTTATTTCTATTTAATATACTGACATATATTTCTGTCTCCTTCTAATAAGCCTATTTTCTTCCATGCAGCTTTCAGTGAGCCTTATGCATGACATTCCTTGGATATACATTATCAAAGCAGACTGAAGTTTTACAAAGAGCAAAAATAAATTAAAATCCAATGGATCAAAGGAAGTACCAGGTGCTGTGCTGGCAGCAAGAAAGAGTGAGTGGTCTCTCCCATCAGTGAAATTTATTTCAGTCTACATGCAAAGTATAAATGATGATCTGACCCTTGGTACAAACAACATCATTTGGCACATTAATAATAAATTCAAGTAGTCAAAAAAGCCCAGAAGTAAACAGGTAAGGGCTTTGCAGAACACATTCGTCTAACTACCATAAGAAGGCTTAGGAGAAGATAACTAAAATCACGGGCTAGTGCTTTTCTTCAGTGTCCCAGGACAGACCAGGCAGTGGATGAAGGCTGACATGCAGTGACAGCCCCTCTGTGCTGTTTGTGTCATTGAGAGACTTCCTGTAGGCAACGTTTCATTTTTCATAGGAATGCCCTACAGTATTGCCTTACATCTGAAAAGAGGCATGAATGTACACTGCTGCACGTGACATTTTCTTTGGGAGATGCATGCACAATTTTTTGTGCATGTACATCTGTGTTTAGGAAAAAACATGGGTACACACCAGGGCATGTACACAGTGTATGGAATTTGACATTAAGCCACATCCAAGTGTGTGAGGTAAAAAGAAAACGGACATGATTGCTCAAAAACATGCGAAATACTTTTTATGTGGTGCGTTAAAAAAGGAATGTTTTCTATTCAGTTGAAACTGGGTGCAGGGCTCTACATTTGACGGTTGCATAAATCCTCCTACACCTTTGGTTTAAAGGTGGGAGAAGCCTCTAGGCTCATCTCATTCCATGACTCTTTTCTTCTCCTGCAACACAAAATTTGATGCTTAAGGCAGTAGTAACAATGTTAAAATGACTGGAATTATGTTATCCCAGTTAGTTTCATGCTTCTCTTCCCACTGGCATGGGAAGGGTACAAGAACAGAAGCCATCACAGGAATGAGCACCTTGCTTGGAATCCCAGTTCCAAAAGGTCAGAAAGAAAAAGAACAAACATCTAGAGAAAGAGAACAGTGATTCCCACAAACCTCATCCACCTCCACAAATTCATAAAAATGAATGTTGGGATTAACCTAAGTTATTTGAGAACTGAACTGGAATTAAAAGAAAGAAACAAATAAAAGTTCAAGTGCCCAGAAAAAGGAGTATAAATTAATATTTGTTTGAAGGACACACTTTGATGGTCTGAAGTTATTTTTAACTTTCCATTTTCCAGTTCAGCCACAGTAAAAATGTCTTTTAATCGTACTGCTTTACCAAAAAGGTAGTCAAGAAAGAGAAAATCAGGAGTAAGAGAATTGCTTAAAAAACAGAATATCTTCAAGTTAGTCAAAATAATTCCTTAGTATTCTCATTTGTTCTTTTATGTCTTTGTTATTAGGTCAGTATTTGCTACAAACAGAAATTTTTAAAAGGTCAAAATTAGTAAAAAAATCTCTATACAAGCAAGAACAATGCCAACAAAAGAACAACAGCAAGGTAACCTGTTGGTATCACTACCCTGAAGACTCAAACTGCATTTCTCCATGTAGGCAGCCATTGCTATCTATTCCCTACAACTCCCAGCAAAACTCTAAGGACTTCAGGAGCACCTTCACCTTTCCAACAGTGTTAAGAACCTTTCCTTTTGTAGTGGATTTACCTTGGCTGGATGCCAAGTGCCCACCAAACTGCTCTCTCACTCCCCTTCCCATCAGGACAGAGGACAGAAAATAAGATGGAAAACAATTAGTGGGCTGAGATAAGGCAGATTACTAAAGAGGAAAAAGAAAAAAAAAAAAGTAAATTTGCACATGCATAAGCAAGGGGGAAAATTTAATCTCTACTTCCCATTAGTGAGCAGTGTTCAGCCACTTCTGGGGAAGCAGGACTTCAGCATGTACAGTGGCTGCTCCAGAAGGCAAAAATTGTAAAAAAAAAAAAAATTTCCCCCCATTCCTTCTCCCTCCCTTAGCTTTTACATCTGAGCTGACATCATATGGCTTGGAATAGCCCTTTGGTTAATTTGGGTCACCTTGCCTGGCTGTGTCTCTTCCTAGGATCTTGCCCATTCCCAGCCTCTTGCTGGGGGGGGATGTTGAGAGACAGCACTGGTGCAGAGCCAGCCCTGCCCAGCAGCAGCCAGAACACTGGTGTGCTATCAGCACTTTTCCGGGTACCAATGCAAAGCACAGCACTGCAAGGGCTGCTGAGGGAAGAAAATGAGTTCCATCTCACCCCGACCCAATACAGCTTTGTATGATATTTAGCAAGGACTTGGTTCAAAACTAGCCAGGTAAATGTCATCCTCGCGTTGATAATAGCTTTCAGAAAACTCCTCACAAACAGCAGGAAAGGCTTTCTTCAGGCTTATGTGAGCATTTCCAGAAGATCCATCACTCAGCCACAGCACATTTTTGCTAACTTCTCAGCCCCCTTTCTTTTCCTACACGAGCTCTCACTCTTTCCCTTGGACTTAAAACAGTTTGCACTTAAACCAAAACGCACAAGACTATCACAAGTATGTTAAGGTGAAGTATGTTACTTAATCATCTGAATAATTCAAAAAGTATAAGTAGCTGCTAGAGGAGTAGAACTCAGAACTTTTGGCCTCTGCACCCATTCTTGAAGAAGATTCTGATCTGCTCACCTTGTGAAGTGTTACCCAATCATCTCCCAGTGACAAAAAGAGTAAACACACTTTCCCATGCATTATTCTATGCTAAACTTCCAACAAGTCAGGATTTATCCTTATCTGAAGAAATGAAATAATTTAGGTGGGTTTAACTATATGGATATCAGAAGAGATTTTGGAATTAAGCAAAAAAACCAAAACAAACAAATAAAAAACCAACCAACCAAACAAACAAAAAACCACTAAAAAAGTATACAGACATAAAATGCATGTACATATAAAAGTAAGATAAAACAAATTCAAAGGAAATCTCAGCAAGGTTTTATAGTGCAAACAACACAAACTCTTCTTTCATTATTTACATTCATCCCCAGAGCTCTTTTAATAAAACTATATATTCAAATAGTGAATAGCTGATTATCTTTTCTTCTAATATGCATGTGATATGATGGCCTTCATAAATACTATGCATAATGAAAGTACAAACCATCAATCTGACATCACACCAATTCATTTTAGACCAATATATTTGCATTAAGTTATGTCACAGTCACAAATAAATTGTTATTCACAAATAGTGTCACTTAAATGTTGTTCTACATGGACTTAACAGGAAATTTATATTACTATACATTACTTCTGGAAAAACAATGTATTAACTGACACCAACCACTATAAAAATGAATTTATATTGCTTCAGTTTTCCTGCTACAAAATAATGAAAGTGCATGTAAACAGAGTATTTTTATTATTATTATATTCCACGAGAGCCATGCACAGTATTACTATGCTCTGTGGTAAAAGTTATGTGCAGAAATATATAGAATTATATTGGGAAAAATTCCTTTGTTGTAATAAAAATGGGCAGCATATCAACAGCTAACTTACAGCCTTTGTCTCAAAGTAGATGCTCATTTTCAGGAGATGGTGACAGTTAGTCTCTCCTGCTGTTCAAATATTACCAGAAACTAAAATGGCCCACCTTTCCATTGAGTTTTTTTCTGAGGGATTTGTCATTTTTACTTTACACTTTACTACAGCTGGAGACTAAATTTTAAATAGAAGCAAAATTTATATATTGAAAAGGAAAAACAAAACCAGAACTGCTCTTATTGATCTTTACCCTAAGAGCATTTTGCAGAAAAGTTGGTGACAAAAATTATCTTTGGAAATCCCTCAAGTTGAACTATTTGCAGTAAAGAAGAAAATACTGTTGAATGTTATTGATAAAAAACCTGATTTTATATTGACAGTGGTGTACATGCTACACTTGACATTTCTTTTCCAGCCCCAGTGTCATAGTTTAACCCCAGCCAGCAACTAAGCTCCACCCAGCCATTTGCTTGCTCCTCCCTCAGCAGCTGGATAGGGCAGAAAAAAATGAAGAGAATAATATGAATAGCAATGATAAAAGAATGAGAATATATGTAACAAATTCTGTGCATTGCAATTGCTCACCACCCACAGACTGATGCCCAGCAGTTTTCCCAGCTGTGAACCCTGGCCAGGTTTCTCCCCAGTTTATAAACTGAGCATGATATTCTGTGGTATGGAATGTCTCTTTGGCCTGATCAGGTCAGTGTGCTGGCTGCATCCCCTTCCAGCCTCTTGTGCCCCTCCAGCCTTCTCACTGGCAGGACATGAGAAGAATAAAAGTCCTTAACTTCGTATAAACACCACCTAGGAACAACTAAAATATCAGTGTTTTGTCAACATCATTCTCCTGCTAAATCCAAACCTCAGCACTGTACCAGCTACTAGGAAGAAAATTAACTTTATTCCAGCTGAAGTCAGGACACACATTTAGACAGTATGCAAAGTATTTCACTTTTTTTTTTTTGTCCCCTAATTATAACACTTCCTCTTCCTCTGCTGTTTCCCAGAGTGGCAAGCCTGCTGGGGTTTTTCCAGGAGCACGGGTAATGATTGGACAGTTGGTGTCTTAACCGTGCATCAGAGCTCTCAATATCTCTGCACGGAGCAGAATGAGCCACAGCCGCTGAAAGATCAGGGGACCTCATTTGTGTCCGATGAGCACATGCTTTGCCCCAGACCAAAGCTCTCTTATACTTTAAGCCCCAAAATGGATACTTCTCCTATTCCAAGTGATCCTTTTCAATTAGTTGTTTGCCTACTGTTAGGTGACACGCTCCTTTACTGGTTATAAAATCACCATTGAACACTTTGAGCTTCACAATTTGCTTTCACTGTAGCTGCTCTCTCACGGCTAATGTCACTACTCCTGTTAATCCACTGCCTTTTGCATCAGTTTCCAATTAAAAATTAAGGAAACATTTATCTGCTTTAATCCCATTCATCCACTGCTTTACAAAGGGTCTCTCTGAGTTGGAAGCACACTGGTCAACAGCAGCTCCAAGAACATGTGCACACTGATGATTCATGCTAAGTGATAAATTCACTGCTGGTTCCTGTACTTTATCTCGAAGTGCCAAACACTGTCTTTGCCCAGCATGTAAGCAGCCCCAGGTTGCATGAGCCTTCCTCTACTTCCTTTATCAAATTCTTCTAACAGTGTCCATTTTCTGTATAAGCCAGGAAAAGCAGTGAGTTCCTGTCATAGCACAGATAATGCCAAGTGCCTGTGTACTCAGAAGAGCCTTCTTCCAAACCTAAGTAGCTGTGTGGTTTCTCCCCAAAGTGAAAAATATGGTGTTTTGCTTTTAAAACATGCACAAATTTCCCTGTTTTTATAATCTTTTTGCAAAACTTGTTTAACAGTTTCTCATTCAAGGGCTTTATTTTTACGTGGAATACAACTTCCTGGAAGCACTAAATTGTAATTAAGATTAATTCCACCTTCCTATGTTAAATAGAAATACTGAAACTACCAAGTATTCAGATCCAGCTCTGGTCAAAAGAAAGACTGTTTGAGACTGTCATGGTATTCCTGAGCTTTGCTATCTTGCAGATATTGAATTACAAGCTACCAGAATGTTCCTCCTTTGTCAGCCATTGCTCCAAAAATCAGCTCAAAAATCAGCTTTCAAATCTTACCTTATTCTTCTACTAATTGTTTCTTGAGTTAATTCTGCTCCAGATATCATATGCAACTGAGTTACCACTCAGCATTCTGACAGATCTGACCATTTCTGAAAGACCCCCAGCCCAGCTGCACAGCCTTACATAAATGTGAGCCTTTGTGAAGACAGAGATCCTCCCCGCCTCACAGAAGAGCCCCATAAAAGTCCAGAGTCCTCTGTTTTTAGGAAATTCTAGAAGTTCAGAAAAGTGTAAAGATCCTGGCAGAAGGGAGGAATTGACAAGAAAGATATAGTGAGATGAAGGGAAAGGTTAAAACATAACAGCAATAACTGAAGAGACAAAAGGACAGGTTGGAAGCATGGGGAAGTATGATGAAAAACAGAAAACGAAGGTAAAATGATAGAGGGGAAGAGAGAGACAGGAAAATATGGCATAGGCATCTCTCACTCCAAGAATCTATGAAGTTTTTGCTTGTTTAGCAGTACCTTGTGAAAAAAACCCAGCATTGGAAAGAATCCCACACTACAGAAAAGCTAATAGAAATTCAATTATTAGTTGGGATCTGGAGTTTTCAAAGTTTCTATTTATGACAAGTATACTACGTAAGTGCAGTTTCAGTTAATTATGTAACCAGGGGCTATTTCTAACTAATGTTATTTGCAAAAATGCAGAACAACACTCTATTTCCTCTATATTCCTTCTCCAAAATGAATCACTGATAATGCCTCCATGATATAATTAAAATTATAGTTTCTCTATAAAACCTGCAAAAACCATGAAGACAATGCAGCTTCATCTGACCACAGGTGAAATGCAGGGCACAGAATCACATATATAACTGTACCTCTCATCTTCTTAGTCCTTAGGCTTCAAACTGTGATTGGAAATAATTTCAGATACTTGATCACTCAGAGTGGAACTAAATTAGCATTGTACACATAAGCAGCCAGCTACAGGATTTAGTTTACTATTGCTATGAGAGCTCAAGGAATGACTCAGGTGTGAACCTCTCAGTACTGTACATTGTCTGCAAGCCCCAAACTTTGAAGTCATGGCACAAAGACTTTCAATCAATCAGTAACACAAAATTAAAATCCCAATAGTTTCCCAGAGTAAAGCTCACAGGAGGCTATTTTCAGGTCACATTATTACCATCAGCACATCTAAATATAGGTACCTTTTAAAATGTATTAGTCCCTCTGTGAAAACCTCTGCTTCAAACAGTTTACCCTGGCAACTTCTGTTCACTGGGTGAGGTTTCTTGCACGCTGCACTGCTTGTGACACCAAAACCCTCCCAACTCGAGTTCACTGGCAGCACACTGGTGTGATAGCTTGAGACTGAAACCTGCGCTATGTGCACATCTTCCAAGAAAAACCCACATCAAAACCAGGAGACAAAGTATATAAACTCACTTGACTCTGCTCCTGACAAGCACTGACACAGTGACCATCTGCCATCTCCACACTTCTAACAAGACAAAGGCCATTGGAAACCACAACCTTTCTTGGAAACCCAGGTAAAATGGAAAAGAAATTCATTTTCCATAGGCTTAATAATATCACTTCTACTCTTTTTAACTTCAAGGAAAATAGCACCCATACATACCTACCATGTAAACGCAGAAGTAATTCATCATGAAATATGTTTAAAATTAACTTAAAAACTAATTTGAATTCCACGAAATAAATCTTCATGGATGCATAGATGCATCTATGTGTCTATAGTTTTCTACAGCTCCTCATAGTCTACCTATTTAATAAATTTTTCTCTCTTTATTGCAACAGTAAATATATTCCTCTTTTATTTCTCATAAAATTGAAAATATATGGAAAAACAGCACTACCAGACTCTAACACTGACTGCTATATAAAGCTATATTTCCCATTCATTTATTTTGCATGCAAGTAAATACACTATCTTGATCAATTTTACCTTTTTATTTATCTACAGTCTTACATTAATCCAAGTATTCTATTTTTGTTATCTATGGAAGTATCTATTTTCATTTTGCTGTTGTCAGTACTTTCACAAAATCTAAACATATGAAAAAGAAATTAAACCTGGTTTTGCTACCACCTTTTAAATATTATTCGGGAAAAATATACATTTTTATTTTCATATCTTTGATACCAAGATTCATAGCCTAACCTCTGAATGTGTCACCATTAACATGTCTACATCTATTGTTTACTTTTTCACAACTGAGGTAAATTCAACTATCTTGTGGAAACTTTGTTAAAAGCATTTCAAAGAAGAATCACAGAATATCTGGAGTTGGAAAGGACCCATACGGATCACTGAATTAATTCCCAAGCTGTCAAAATAATACTTTAATTTGATAGGGGTCTTTCAAATACTGTATTCTGTGACCTGCAACTATTGCTCAAACATATTTGCTATAGAGGTTTGAAATCTTGAATAGAATTTTTAAGCACTGAACTCAAATATGATTTACAGAATTAACTTTCAAATACTACACCTAATAATGTCAAGAAATCTAACACCACCATGTGTTTCTCATCACCTGCATTAACACAGTTTTTGAAAGACTGGGAAGCCATCCCCCTTTTTCTGGAGAGAGAGATCCAGTTCGACTTGTGCTACACGGACAATTTTAGCTACACATGCAGGGTGACAGCTATAATACCACCATAGCTGCCATTTTGGGGCTAATTAATACATTAATAGAAGAGAACTTCTACCCTTCACAATACATATTGTAACACACAAAGTCATTTCCTTCCACCTGCCTGGACTGGACTTGGATGTAATTTCCCTAAGAACATTTAACATACCATCTTCATCTGTCTGGATAATGGTCTCCTCACTTTCCTTCCTCCCTTCTGGGTTGGTTAAGATCATCTTGAGGCTGACATTTGTGTAGGGAGGCAAATGATCCACAACGTGCTGAGGTGCTTTGGGGTCCATGTCCAAGCAGTCTGCTTTGCTCTCGTTGTGTCCACAGAAGTAGTGGTAGCATATGGTGACATTGAAAGTATGGCAACGAGTGATGTTGTAACCCAGAGATTCCCAATCCACAGCGATGTGTCTGGCCTGGATCTCGGCAATCTTCAGTGTTTTCGGTGTTCTCATAGGTTCTAGAAAATAGAGCATAATGAAGAAAACACTTAATATTCCTCATCCAACACTGAGCTGTAGCTAGTAGATGGTACATTCAGGAATGTGAGAGTAAAGGAAGAACCCGAGAAACAGGCAAGTATCATCCTTTGCACAGGTACCCTGGAGGAAAAAATACTCCTTAAATTTTTTTTACTTCATTCTTCTTTGTCCTGTCTTTGCAGGCTTAAATCAGTGATGGAGACTTAACAATAGTGAGAAAAAGAAAAGTTAGATTATCAGTGGAGCAGTTCAATGCAATTGAAAATACAGGCAACAGATGCAAGAAAAGTGACCTAAAGGCCACTCAGCTTCCCTTCTTGATTTCCCCCTTACCCTTTTCCTTTTTTTCACCTGTGTAAATTAGATAATGCATCATAACAGTAAAGAGTGAACATTTACTATATTATGATTTATCAAGCCACCAAACAATGCCATATACTAATTATACTAATTACCTTACTAAACAAGCAGTTACAAAACTTATGCAGATATTAATTAGTGTTTATTATTTTAGTAGTGAAGCTATTCATTCAAGCAAAACCCCTCGGAAATACCCCTAAAAAATGATTTTAGATAATCCCATTGCATTCTGATTCCTTCAAAACCCCAAAACCATGATTACTCTGAGCAGGTAGTCTCTAACCTGCTCCCCAAGCTCAGCTCCTCTCCACATGTGCATTTCCACCAGCAGAATACCTGATGTTCCCCAAGTGGTCGTCAATCTTTCACTGTCTCTCTAGAGCATTCATTCCTCATGCAAGAGTAACTTTTATCGCTGAACTTAATTAAAATGATTACACAATGAAAATCATGACCATGACTGTATATACTAGAGTTTCACTGAAAATATACCCTGCTAATACATGCTTCCTCACCAGACAAAATAAAGCTTGTTGTTGATACAGCTTCAGCCTTGTGTCCTTGCTGGTTTAAGGTCAAAACAGTCAAGATTGTTCAAGGAAGGGAAATATAGGATTTCTCTTTCTGAGTATAACCATTCTTTCTAACTTGCATTTATGAGTTCCAATGAGGCAAAAACCAGCCAAAAAGCACAGATGGTATATTGAAATAAGGAAATGTGAATCAGTGTAATCTATTCAGCATGCAGTTTGCCAGACAAACTGCAAACATTTAGTTTCAAACATCAAAACAACAGAATTCTAAATATAACATAAAGGTATTCCTAGTAACATGAGAGTGTTAAGGATTAAAAATTACACCTATTTGTTGTCACGGTCTATCCTTTCTTCACTTTGAACAAGCACATATATTACCTTTGCCATTAAGTACTGATTTAGCATACATACAGTGAAAAATGCAATTAGACTTCCTGGGTAGCAGTTCTCTGAACACACTGTGTACTGTAACAATAGAGATTTGAAACTGAAAGATAGCATTGAAAAGGTCCTTGAGAGATAAGAGACTTGAAGAGAATGAGAAAAAACAGGGTTTTATAGAGAAAACAATGGTTGGTGCTTTAGCAAATAGAGAGAGGTTGTGAGATGGTCATGGAAAAAAAAAGTGTAGCAACATAGTAGATGTACTGAAGGAGCTGGTAGGGGCCTCCAAAGAATCAGTATTCCCTTGGCTACTGCAAGCACTTGGGGAAAAACTGAACATATTCAAGCACTACAGAGGAAGAGAACTGTTAAGACAAATATATACATATTTATGTGTATATATATAAAACCAACCTTTTTCTCATATGAATGACAGTGAAAAACTTAGTTATGCATACTCTGATTTAGAGTTTGAGGCCTCAAACTCTGTTTAACAGAGTAAACATACCCTTCACTGAGGAAATGTTATAGCCTGTTATAGGCTAAGTTTTCCTTCTGCAATGGAATGATTTTTCTCATTTTAGTAATTTCCTCTTTGTTCTCCTACTCCAGTTTATGACTCTGACCACTCCAACTAGAGATGGAATTAAAACCTGAGCTCAAAATTTATTGGAATTAACACAAGTAACACCTGGTGTCTGACCATGAAGTCTGAAACTATTAATGTTTGAAGCCAACTAATCAGTAACAGAAAATGCACAACATTTTCATCTTGCATCACTCATGACAAGATTTAAACTGCATTTACACTATGCTGCACAGCACTTTCAGGAGAGAAGAAAAAAAATAAAAGCTTTGTTAATCTTAAAGAAAAATTATTTTACAATTCTACGCAAATTTTACAAATGTGTCACAGCATCAGAGGAGATACAGAAAAGCATCCTTTATTCACCTGTCAAAAAGGAAAGAATGAAAGACAGAGTGTGATCTCGCTTTCTCACAACTATTCCCTTCTTTGGCAGAAATTAAACAACTTCTGCAATATTGAGATGGTAATTAAAGTCTGCAGAGTCTCTCAACAGCTTTAGTAAACTCTGCCAACTGTCCCACTGCTCCTAAAACGATGCTTTAAAAACACAATTTTACTCTTTCTTCTGGGCAATGTTCATCTTGGGAATCTCTAGAGGTAAAGACCAATTGTTTTAAACTACCACACCACAAAGTCTCCATCTGTAACACCTCAGTAGAAAGCAATCTTCGAATAATTACTTTTCTCAGATAAAGCACTATTGAATTTTTGAGTAGGCTTCCCAAAGATCTCAACCATCTCATTAAGAATAGCTTTGATGTCAGTGGGAGCAAATAGTGTTCATCTCATTTTTTTTTCCATTTCCCATCACAATTTAGGGTTTGCTTTTCACTGAAACATTTCTTTAATCCTACTGGGATTTTATTTCAATTTATGCATTCTCTTCTGTTTTCTTGATACTCTTTGAGGACCACTAATCCCAATAATTCAAGTCACCTCTTTTTTTCCCAGATTTTTCCCCATCTTTCCTGTTAAAATCACATCTAGAACTTTTATCCAAAAATACATGGATTTTCAAGTACACGAGTTCTTACTTCTTTATTGAATTACCCATGTCAAGAAGGCATCCTATGACAAAGAGGGAAGAATTAAAATGTTCTCAAAATACCTGCTCAATCCTTAACCTGTCCGCTGGAGTGTCAATAATGATGGCAGAAGACACTTAATATTTTTCAAACATTAATTTACCAATTACCCCCGTGAGAAATGTAAGTGGTGTTAAAACTTTTCAGTGAAGAGAAAGAGGCACAAAAAAGGTTAATAGCTTGTTCAAAGCGACAAAGCTAATTACTGCCACAAGAAAACTGAACTCAGTTCCCAGGCCACTGGTGGCCATCAGACACCTAGCTGCAGCAATGCATAGAACTCATTTACAACGTATATGCCAATGCTTCCACCCAAATTCTAACTCCAATTCTACACTCTAATCTTTTTTTAAAAAGAGATTTGGTGGTATTTAAGAGTTTTCTTAGAACAAGTTTGAAAAAACATAACAGTGCCCAGACACTAATTGAATATGTGAGCATAAGGACATGTTATTTGACAAACAGTAATTTGGCTTATTCTTTTAGAAAGATTTCTTGATTGAGAGCTTTGAATTTGAATGAAAAAGTTGTTGGGTTTTTTTTGTTTGTTTTGTTTTGTTTTGTTTTGCATTAAATCTTGTCTATAAAATTTACATTTTTTGGGAGAAGATATTAGTTGGTTTTTTTTCAAATCTTTTTCTCCATCAAATAAAAAGCTGGAGAGAGTTCTTTTGTGGTGACAGCAGAAAGTATGCAGGACTTCCGTTGTTGCAGGAAATTCAATATCCTGTGACTGCATCAAGCTCTTAGATATGAACATCCTGACTGGCAGAGTTAGATCTTCAAACAGACACCCAGCCACAAAGTATATGGAGGATTTGGTGGTGGTGGTGGTAGCAGGGTTGACCTTTAGGTTCTCATGAACACCTCTGATGATGAACAGGCTCCCTTCTGCCAGACCTTGCCTGGCCATGGGCTGCTGCTATGACCTCCACCCCATTTCCACCTCTACTTAGGGCCACCAGCTCCTCCCTCTGCCCATTGCTTTTAACACCTGGCAATACCCACCTCTGTTATCTCCCTCCTCCTCACCTCTGCTTTGTGTCTTGGCACACAAATACTACCAAATGCTTGCTGACTCAGATCTATTATCCAATCTGACTGTTTTTAGCCTCATTGAACCAATTAAAAACAGAGGCACTGGGAGAATATCAAAACAACAGAAAAACCTGAATGATAAGAGATCACTACATTTGTACAGATTACCAAGTCCTCAATCCTTATCCAGAAACCATGTAAAAGAATTACATGCATGTGACATTCAATCACAATAATTTCTGGATCAAGAAGATTTAACCCAACCTTATGGGATAAAATAAAGAACATTTCAGTAATTCTCCAAAGGTTAATAATAGAGAGATAGATGGCAAAAGAGACAGAACCTGTTGACCCCACACAACCTCTCAACTGCAGATGATTTAATAAGACTCTCCAGATAACAGATAAAATGAAATTCAATTTCTTTAGTGCTTGATAAGCAACACGTGATATGACAGGTCAATATCAAGCCTCTTTGTAGAGATTATCTTCACTTACACAGAGATGGGAGTGAAAACAAAAGCCTCCACAGCTGCAGAAGCAGCAAGGTGAGAGCATGCATTTCCTCAGAACCTCTTTTTAATGATAATATGTATTAGCCTGCTGTCAATCAGAGACAAACAGATGTCCCAAGAGCTGTGAAAATATCCCATACAATGAGGTTAGCAAAGTGTGTTGTGCTCTGCTTTTGCTGCCTTTTCTCAGAAACCCTAAGTATTGACTGCAAGACAGTTTAATTTCCATGTACCTTGCAGAGGTGGACGAATTAGATCTTCTGACAAGCAACCAGAATGCACATTTGTTCACATGAATTGGAAAATAATTGAACAAATTTTAAAGCACAAATATTTCAGATAAAGATGATGCTTCTCAAAAACCAGCATATCCTGTCTATACACTGTCTGTGTATTCCATTCTTTAATAGGGGTTGGCTTTTGGATCCTTCTTCTCCCTTCAACTCTTTCTAGTTTGTCATTACACTGAAG